CAACAACAAAACAATATGTGGAATTAGTTTCCTATCATCTTTCTTGACTTTGTATGAGCTAAAAAGAAAAAGAAAGAAAGAAAAGAAAGACTACTCAAAGTATAGGTTCACTTCATCCTATTTTTGATAAGCTTAAATCTTAGCAGCCACTGCTGGCCACTGTAGAGAATGAGGGGACTCACTCTACTGTTTATGCTTGTGATTGTCCCAAGTAAATAATGTGTGCTGAAAATATTCAAAACTGAGCATTTGTGTGGGTTAAGGAAAATAGACTGGCTTGATGTTGATTACTGATGGAATGATCTTGTTTCCGGGATTGAAATTTGCTAAAAACCAAAATGTTACCAGAAGTTTGCTAATAAATTAGGAAAAAGAATGTGAACTCTGAAAAACTTAAAATATATTTTATTAGCTTAAGTATGTTTGGTTTTGTCTGCTTGACATTTTAAATTTCAAAAATACCCAAGGCAAGGGTAGGCAAACTTTTTCTTAAAGCCAGTAAGTTCAGAGGTCTTGAAAACCACCTTCAGATTTAATGTTTCACTAGAACAACCCACAGAACTCAGAAAATATATTATATTCACAGTTATAGTTTATTATAGCAAAAGAATGCCATTAAAATCAGCAAAGTCAAAGTATGTATAAGGCAGGGTCCAGAAGAAACCAGCTCAAGCTTCCATTTATCTTCTTTCAGTGGAGTTATTTGACCAGCACTTAATTCTCCCAGCAACATTGTGTGACAACATGTATGAAGTATTGCTGGCCAGTGAAGCTCATCCAAGCCTCAGTATCCAGAGATTTTGTTGTGGGTTTCTAGGCCCTCCAGAGGTCAAACTAAAACTCTGTGGCTTATGGACCCCACCATAAATCACATTGTTAGCACAAACTATCTGGTGTGGCCCAACTCCCCAGACAAACAAAGACACTCTTATCAGACAGGATATTCCTATGGACTTAGAAGTTATTTCAAGAGCTGGTCAAGGGCCAGAACTTTCTTTGGGCTATTCAGGGTTTGGACACTCCAGAGCTCCTGAGTCAACCCTTTTTCTATAAAGGGCCAGGTAGTAAATATTTAGGATATATGGTCTCAGTGACAACTACTCAATTTTGCCATCTGAGTGTAAAATCAGCCATAGACAATGTATAAATGAAGGGACATGATTGTGTTCCAATGCAATTTTATTTACAAAAACAAGTGGAGGACCAGATTTGGCCAAAGGCCATGAGTTGCCAACTCCTGGTCTAGAGTATACAACATAAAATTAAATTCTGGGAAATAAGTTATTGAATTCCATTGCTTGGATAGCTTTACTTTATCTTCATTTCTTTGCATGGAGACTAATGATAAAATGTTGCAAAGAATTGCTTCTAAGATAATGAAAAACTTGTAATCTTTAAAAATATTTATCCTTTCCTAATATATTTGAAGCTATATGTCTGTTACATAAATTCTAAATGATAATCTTGCTTATATTTGTACAAATTTGTTTTCCTCTTTAGAAAATATGAAATTAGGCTAAAAAGGGAATTATAGAATTCCTAGACGAAAAGTTAGATTATTTGTAGTAAAAGAGGATGTGGGGTTTTAAATTAATTTGACAGTATTGTTAAATATGTCAAATGGCCTGCTTCCTTCTTTGAGGAATCCTTGTTGTAATTTTCTTTCATGAGTTAATCAAGATTTCAGGCCCAGTATAACATGTAAAAATTTGAAAAATAATAAAGTTTTTTATTATTATTTGATTGAAGTTTCCAGATCATAACCACAGGAGAAAAACACATCACCTTGGTTTTATATTCTAGACAGAACTAAGAGATAGCAGTCTGAAACTACTCAATTGTTTCTCCAATACAAAAGATGCTAATTCTGAAGATGAGTATCTGTGCCTGATAGAAAAAGTTTGATATAAAGCATATTGAAACATTGACCTTGAGAAAGATGGCCAGGGTTGGAATCTCAGCTTCTCCTTTTGTAACCTTGAGAATAATTCATTCGTTTTTGAGTGTCAGTTTTCTCATCTGCAAAGCATATTATATTGTTCTCATATGTTTGTGAAATAATTTATTTAAATCAAGTGTCATAATTGGAAGTTCTTCATATATAATAAAAACAGTCACTATTATAACTGGAATTTACTGAGTACTTATTATACAGTAGGTTCAATGCTAAAGTATCTTGAATGCATTTTTCTATTTAATTCTAACAACAACCCAGTTAGGCAGGCTCTGCTGTTGTTTTTCATTTTATAGATGAGGAAACCAGCTTAGCCCAGTTAGGAATTGAACGAAGTCAAACAGTCTATTGGTGGTAAAGCTGTTAGCTGAGCATTTAGTTCTCTCTGCCTAACTTCTAAGTTCATGCTCCTAACCACAGTTCCAGATAAAACGGGCAGCCTGGAGTAGTGTCATGACTGTTGTGTTTTGCTTTGCCCTGTTTTTCCTTCCCCCCCTAAACAGTCTTTTGAAACTCATCAAAGTTCATTTAAATTTTTAATTTGTGTGTTCTCTTGAGCACTCTGGACGTTCTTGCATGGCAGCGATCAGTCTTAGCTGATCATATTCCAATAATTTTAGTAGACAGCCACTTGGGTTTGGTGCACGCTCTCCCGTGTATCCCTGCTCCTCCCTGTGTGTCACTGGGCACTCTGCAATCATCCCCTCCTCGGCGGCGGCATCTGGGGAGCCATGCTCTCTGCGTGCCTCCATACCATTAGAAAAGTTGATTTAAAATTTTTACTTTGCTATTTCTCAACCTGGCCACTTTACGTCACTGTCATCTTAGTTTGTTAGCTATAAATAATGCATCCGTACTTTATTTTTATACTACCGAACTGTTTTTAAATCATGCATTAATTAAATGGTGTGGCAGAGACTCGTAGGAGACCTTCTAATGTCCATTCTTCCTTCACTCCTCAGTCACAGGATGCCCATGTTTCATCAGAAGCAGTTGGTTGCCAGAATAAAAAGAACATTTTTCTGCCTTCACTGCAGCCAGGAGTGACCACATGACTAAAGCTGGCTGAGTAAATGTATGTGGCAGCTTCTGAGAATCTTAGCATATAATGGCCTACTTTTGCTTCATTTTTCTTTAGCAGCTCTTTTTTTTTCTTTTTTTCTGCTGCCTACAACACAGATCTGATCCCTGGAACTCTAACTCTCCCTTTGAACCATAAGACGAGGACTGCAGTTGGCAAAGCAAAGAGCTGGAACGGATTTTAGATCCCTAAGACTTAGGGGACTAGAGCTGTCGACTCCCTCTAGCCTATTAAGAAACCTAAAATTCCAGTTTGCTTTAACCAATGTGATTTTAGATCTTCATTACTCACAGGTGATTCTAAACCTAACTAGTATAGACGGCATAACATATATTAATATCTAAATGCCTGAGTCCTCACACAAGGCCTTTAAGATTCCAAGATAAGGTTGTATGGTCAGTAGCATTGAACTCTTCGTGAAATAATCTTGTATGTGTATTAGTAGCTTACTGAAGCCTTATAGAGAATTATTTGTTCATGACAAAAACCTAAAATTTCTGGTCTATGGAAATATGACCAGAATTTAGGGTTAGTTACAGCAACAGATCATTTTAGAGATACGGCCGTTCGGTGTCCTTGTTCCCCTGCTCTCCTTTGCAACCCTGAACAGTGCTTTCACCTCTCCTATGTCCCTCTGTACAATCTGACAATTTTAATTAATGCTTCAGTTACTTGCATTGACTTGCTTAATTTTTAAAATGCTTGGGTGAAAACAGTCATTTGACAGAGATGACTTGGCAGTTTTATAAACTGGTAATTGGAAATCAATGGGTTCTAAGCTTTGGGCAGAAAACATAATGAACAGGCCAGCCCATAGGGACAAAAGATTATATGTTAATACTATGAAAAGGTCAGGAATGTACTAATTAAGTTAAATCTGTGAGACATTCCAAGCACTACCTCTGAATTACAACGTTCCTTCAGAGAATATAGGATTGGACAAGTGATAGTTCCATTGTACTGAGTCAGTTACCACCCAGGCTTAATATATATTGTGCATATAATTAACTACAGTGTGGACTCAAAAATATCTTTTCCTTTTTGAAAAGTGAGCAAGATAACTAAGTGAAAATTTAAAAAAAAAACTAGTATAGAAAAGACATTCATTAATCAAATGATATGGTAGAGAGTAGTAGGAAACTTTCTAATGCCCATTTTTCCTTCACTCCTCAGTTGTAGGCTGCCCATGTTCATCAGAGGCAGTTGGTTGCCAGAATAAAAATAATATTTTTCTGCCTTTTTTGCAGCCAAGAGTGACCACATGATTAAAGCTGGCTGCGTGGCAGTTTCTGGGAATCTTAATGTATACCGGCCTACTGATCTTTATGTATACCGGCCTACCGGATCCAAAAACGGTACTTGGATCCATTAAGATTTTAAAAAAAATAAGTACATTATTTAATATTTTAGATTAAGGTTTATGTCTTTAAGAAAACTCACTATTGCTTGTGCTTCCATAGCTATTTATATTTACCTATATTGTAATTCCTCACACATTTTATTATAGCTTGTTGTCTTTATTTCTGTCTCTCATGATTGGGTAAGAGTGTTCTTTGAAAACAGAGGTTGCATTATTTACAAAGAGATGTACTAGGTACATAGTGGATAATCAAATTATAGGAAAAAATGATGAATAAATGTATGAACAAATGAAGAGCAAATTACTGAATGAAGGTGGAGAGTGCTCCTTGTTTACCTTAAGTTTTGGGAAAAGTGGTAGTGGTGGGGTGGATTTTTGTCTGTTATGTTCACTGATGAATAGGACATAGAAAATTGCTTGAATCATAATATTTTCTGTGAATTAAATATTTATCAAGCCAAAACTATCTGAACTTTGTTTTAGCTTATTTAATCTTTCCTACAGTTATATGAAGTAGATGTTACTGTTATCCCTCTGTCCTTATTTAGTACATAGACACAGCTGTCTTTCTAGAAGTGTCTAATCAGTGGCCCTGTATCAGTTTCAGGGTATCATTAGGATTAGCCTGCTCCAGTTGACTGCTGATGGCTACTAAATCACCTTCTTCAGGAAGATTCTGAAGACTCCTCTATAAAGGATGCTCTTCCAGGCTTTCCTATCTGGCACGACTGCGTGGGAAATGAGAGGAGGCATACCATACTTCACAGAATGGTATTTGGGGAATATATTATTTAGTCTATTTTCAGATAATAAAAAGCTTTCATTTTCTCATCTTTTCTGAGCAATGCTGGTATTTAATTCTTGAGTTTCCATTATTGATCTCCAAGTTAAATAGAATTAGACATCAACCTTGTCTCAACGCTAACATTTACACATCATGTGATCCTGAGTAATTTATTTATAAAACTCAAAAACTCCATTTTTTCCTCCAGAAAATGAAGTTAATAACAGTACCTATTTCATAAGATTTTTATGATGATTAAATTAAAATATACATAAAGTACTTTGCACTGTGTTTGGCTAATAGTAAGCCCTCAATAAATGTTAGCTATAATAATTTTATTCTTATATCAATGCTTTGAGATTTTAAAGCTAATAAGTAATCTTTACTACTCAATAGACTTAATAGATCCTTGGCTTTTTTTTTTTTTTCCTCTAAGGGTGGTCATACCTCCCAAATCAGGCAATTTTATGAACAGAATTGCTATGAAAGGGAAGCTTGACTTTTTAAAAACTAAATCAGAAAATGTGTGTGAGAGGTGAGCCTTCAGTGCAAATGTTTTGGAGAAGGTAGGAAATTCCAAAGCTTAGAGTCGGTAAGTTCAAGGACATGCATGAATTTTACAATATCTTAAAAATTAAAGCCAATGCCAGACTCAAGGTATAGTATGCTTAGGTCAAGTATGTAGCAAGCAGCTGACGCGGATCTGTTTAATCTACTGTTTCCTCAGAAAAATTTAAAGAGGGTAGACAGGCAAACATCACTTATCCCTAGGCCATCGACTAAGAAATTGACATTCCAAATCAAAATTGATGAATGAGCTTTCCCCAGTGGGTACAGAATAAACTGACCCAATTTTTATTGGTCTTAAACTTTGTTTGCTTTGCATTCTTCAGCAGATGAAAATAAGTGCTCTGCCAAAGAAAAATTTCTATGCCTAAACATGTTTTTAAATATCTGAATTTACGTTCCATAGAGAATAAATCAGATAAATATTTCTGTAAGAGTAAGAAAATATGGTTAAATACATTTTTCATTTACTTACTAAAATATTATGAAGCCATGAAAATGATGTTTATTCATACAATACATCAACGATATTAAAATGTTAAATTAAAAGACAGAGGAAAGAAATAAACATGGCATTTGAACATAACCATATAAAATAGGGTGCATAGACAAACACTAGAAGACATTATATAAGTCTTAGTACAGGTATAGTGTTAAGGTAGAAGGATATGTAATACAGTTTTTTCACCAAACTTTAAAAACAGAGTACCTGTTAGTTGGTAATTTTTGTTTTATTTGAAAATTACAAGACAAAAGAAAATGTTGTATGATTTGTTTTATTTAAATTTTTATTTTATTCAAAAACTATAAGATAAAAGAAAATGTATGATTTATTACAGGTGTATGCTCTATGACAAATATAAGTTAAAACATTTTTCCTGGCATAACATTTTATGTATTTATTAATATATTCCCAAGTGTCAGTGTACACTTTATTTGGTACCTGCTAAGTTCCAGGCACTGCACTAACTATTGGGGATACAAAAATGACATCATATCATCCTGCTTTTAAAGGACTAACAGCCTATTGTCCTAAAGACAGTGCCCGTCCAATAGCACGTGGAGGGCTATTTGCTCACCTGGCCTCTGAGCCCCTAATTGAACTCACAGGCACTTCTTCTTCATGTATTTAGGTTCTAATGCCCACTTTCTGAAACAAATATTTTGGCACATAAAATTCAAATCAAATGGCAATATTGCTAGATAGAAGATTGGAATATAACGACTGCTGTGATTAAACAGATATGTTTTTCAAGAGAAGTAAGTTCTTCTCACTGAACATAACTTTGGGTGCTATGATTGCGCATAAACTTTGGGTACTAAAGATCCAGAAACTGGAAAATATGAAAAAATATGAATTTATGGACTAATGAAATTCTTATTTCTGTTTACTTAAGGTATTAGGGCTTTTCAGTGAAACAGGACCAATAGAACATATATAGATATATGACAGGAGATTTGATATGGAAATTGACTCATGTGATTGTGAGGGCCAAGAAGTCCCCCAATATGTTGTTGTCTGCAAGCTGGAGAACCAGGAAAACCAGTGGTTTAATTCAGTCTGAGTCTGAAGGCCCAAGAACCAAGAGCTCCATAGTCTGAAGGTAGAAGACAGATGTCCCAGCTCAAGGGGGGTGGAGAGAGAGAGAGAGAGAGAGAGAGAGAGAGAGATCACTATTCCTCTTCCTTTTTATTCTATTCAGGCCCTCAAGTGATTGGCTGATTGCCCATCCACATTGGTGAGAACAGATTTTCTTTACTTAGTCTACTGATTCAAATGCTAAACTCTTCTGGAAACACCCTCACACTCTCATTGACACACCAATATAATGTTTTACCAGATATCTGGGCATCCCTTAGCACATTCAATTGACACATAAAATTAATATCACCCTCAATAGAACTGAAAGATAACACTTTCTCTTGTAATTCAAGAACTTTTGCCAGTCTAAACAAATAATTGCTGATTTCAGAAAACAGATTCTTTTAATTACATTTTAGAACTTGGATGAATTCAAGTGAAACTTTTCACTTGAATCACTAAAAATATGATTCTTTCATTTGTATTTTGCAGTCGAAAGATATAATGCTTTTCTTTTTCCCCTTTTTGTCATTTTTTTAAATTGGCAGATTAAATTGTATGTATTTATTGCATACAGCATGTTTTGAAATATATATACATTGTGGAATGGTTAAATCTATCTAATTGACAAATCTATTACCTCACCTAGTTATCACTTTTCATGGTGACAACAGTTAATGTCCCCTTTCTTTGCATTTAAAAAAATACAAACTAATATTTCAATATTACTTTAAGAAAAATACTTTGGAAAACAAAGTACATTTAATTTAATTCAAATATTTATTTTTCAATCTTAGTCCTATGACTGGGTGCTAGATCCTCCAGAATGTGAGAAGAATTACAGCAAATTATAGTCTCTCTCTATGTATATTTATGATATATGTTAAGGGCCCTAAATAGTCATATGTATTAATTTCTATTACATGTGGTGTTATTTTATGTGTGTGTGTGTGTGTGTAAAAGTTTTTCAAGAGAACTTTTCAAACCAATATTATTTGGTAGTTCAGATAAATTATTATAACTTAGAACTATATATTATATTAGAAAAAAATAATAATTACTATTTTTGAGCATCATTTGAATCCCAAACATTAGGAATGCATGTGCAAATGTGATGGAAGATAGAAGTAAAGTGTAATCTTCAGAGGGGATTTTACATAATTTCAATTTAAAACATGTCTACTCTCCTAGTGTACAATCCCAGTGACTTTAAAAACGGGCAGTTTCTTTCAGTGTAGATCAATCCGTGTTGGAGGACTAATGAAATTCTTTAATGCTCCTGATAATGAGGACTTCTCAGACCTTTGAACACACAGATAACTGGCTTACACTATTGACAACTTTCAAAATTCTTTTTGAGAGGAGAGATGAGGCAAGGAACAATATAGAAATCTTTTGTTCTTCTAATGTTCCATTCGTGAACTTTCACAGAGACATAAGTAAATATGTTCAATAGGACCAGCATTGCAATTGTATTTAAAATGCTTCCCACAGCTTCATGCAGATTTCTTTTTGGACACAAAAATCTGTGAATTCTCTTGGCTTACTAATGCTTGATCCTTTCTGGGGTCTGTGGATCTGTCATTTGATGTCAGCATAAAATTAAGAGCTACCTCAGTTAGCGTGGTAGGTCCTGCAATTTTGATTTCAGTCCCAGAACTTTCGTTTTGCTCAGTGTTGGGCTCTGTCCTGAAAGGGATCCCTTTCAGGTCAGTTTTGGGATTTTTCTGTGAGTAGACTGTATCCATACCCTTGATTTTTACAGTGAATCTCTCGAATATACTCACTAATGGAGGGAGTAAAATCTCTGGCAGTTCAGATGCGGTTCTCAAATTGGCTGTAGCACTTTCCAGGGAGTATCTGTTGTCTATTCCCAGTGAGACTCCTCATCTTTCCTCTCTCCTTTCTCCCCTGCAAATGCCGACACAGGGCCAGCTCTTACAGGTATTGGTGATTTGTCTGTGTCCTTCCCTTACTTTGCCCAATCTTGGGCAAGTTATTTAACTTTCTGTGTCTGTTTTGGCAATAGTTAAATTGGGATAATCATAGTACTTAATTCATATGGTTGTCATGAAGATTAAATTGCTGATGCAAAAGCCAAGTATAATAGCTGGCACAAAGTCAGCGCTTGATTTAGCGTTTATTCCTATGAGCCTCGGCCTTCTTAGATGGCACTACCACTCTTTCATTACCAGAGTAAAAAACCTGGCAACCATTATCAGATTCTCACTTTACTTCCCTCCAATCACTAAATATCTAGACACTCTTCAATTATTAAAGTGTATCATCCTCTCAATGAGTTTTCCTTACTCCAGTATTGCTTCCCAGCTGTAGGACACAATGACGTGTATAAAGTATAATGTGGCAAACTAATACTTTCCAACATGAAACCCTCCGGTAGCTCCTCGTCCCAGGGATGATTTTATTAGCTCTTTCAAAATTCGCCTTCTGCTTACTTAATTTCACAGGCTCATTTTTTGCCACGCAAACTGTCTCAGTGAGCCATAAACAAGACTGCCTCGTATGAACATGACTTTTTCAAATAACGCTGCTTGCTTTCTCCTCTCTTCTCTTACTTTGGCCTTGAAATTTCCACTTATCCTTCAGGCTCCAGCCTAGCTATTATTACATCCAGAGATGACTGGCCCACTTCAACAAGGTTAGGCAGCCTCTCCATGCTTCCCCAAGTGATCTTTGCATACTTTTCTTGGAGCACCTTGCAGACTGCTGAGTACGGACAGTGCACAGTTCCATCTCTTCCAATAGAACATAAACTTCTTCTAGGCAGGAGCTGGGATATTCTTTGTTATATTTCTGTTCCATGCACACCATATGGCATGTAATGTCTATTCAATACCAGTTGAATGAATGAATAAATGAATACATAGCTGTGGTGTTGTTTAATGAATTACACGAGGAATTTTTGGTATTATGTTTTTGGTTTTTAAAAATAAATATATTAGTAGTTTTTCCTATAGATGTAAAGGTATTTCTAAAATGACCTTTAAAAAATAGGGGAATTTTACTTAGCAAAACCTTGTGATGAAATCAATTCTCATTAAATTTGCAGAGTCACTTAGAGATAAGGAGAGAAGGAGAATAAAAAGTTAATTAAGGAGGCAAGATTTAGTGGAAATGTTTTGTCAGCCTTGAAACTGCACCTAGAATTGAAAATATAATACTTCTAATGCCTTGTTGTTGCACGTCCTTTTCACTACTGCTTGTACTATTCCATTAACCTATCGTCACTCCTCCCAGGGCCGCATTGCCATAGCCAGGACTGGGACAGCTTTCCGTGGAACCTACAGCCCGATGGATGCTTAGAACGAGGACATCTCACATTTTCATCTAGTAGCTGTAGAATTCAAAACTATAACTTGCGATTGCATATTAATACAGGATAACTGAGCATGTAAAATGATGACTTCTTTTTGGTGAGAATTACGATCATATTAATTATTTGGGGATAAAAATAAGCATGAACTGTGTGTCTTATTTTCTTTTAAGAATACATTATCATTATAAAAATAATTATTTTTATAGGAAATTGATAGTAAGGATCGATTCTTATGGGTTGTGCTGTCAGTATGGTAGTCCCTAGTCACATGTGACTATTGAGTGCTTGAAAAGTAGCTAATGCAAACTGAGATGTGCTATGAGTGTAAGATACATAAGAGATTTAGTATAAAAAAGAATGTAAATTATCTCAATAATTTTCATATTATTTTTTGAAACAGTATTTTGGATCTATTGGGTCAAATAAAATATATTATTAAAAATAAAAAACTAACTACAGATATTAGAAAATTTAAAATTAGATACATGGCTCACATTCTATTTCTATTGTATAGCTTTGCTCTGAGTAGCTCTCATTGTGTAGCTTGTTTTGTGTGCATAAGGTCCTAAGAAAATTTGTGATAAAAGAGCTTCAGGCCAATAACCATTAACAAAGTTAGTGTAATACATTTATGTCAGTGTGTACAATAATTTGTGAGTGGTGTGGGTGTATGCAAGTGGGTTTTTAATTTATTTTTCTATAAAAATATTCAAACATGTAAATCATATGACCTAATCTTGAAAATAGCTGTAATCCATAACTTATATATTGGGTCAGAGATTTTATGTTATTTTTAACATTTTTATGTGAAAATCATGCTTCTGATTCTTCAATTGAATTTTTACTTATTTCTTTTATTTTCTCTAAAATCTCCTGAAAGGAGTTAGGAACTTGCAACTTTTGTTGCACTAGCACTCGGTCTTCACTGACGGATTCCCTCCCATTCTCTGGAGCAGTGAATCAGGGTTGGGAATGCAGACCCGGGAACTTTGTGGGAAGGGAGGAAATTGTCTGCTAGGAGTGGTGTGTGCAGCAAGGCAGACCATGAGGCATGCCCGGGGAAGCTGAAACTAAAGCCCAGTAGAAAGCTCAACCAGGCTGTTAGTGGAAAGAGTGACAGATTCCACACAGGAATCTGCAACAGTTGGGAACTATGGAAACTAGACCAGAGTGAGAGTAAATAAAGGTAGCAGTCAAAGTTAGAAAATCCCTTGAGATGGAGGACCAGAAGCAGATGGTATTTTTATGGGGCATCAGTGGTATTGGGCGGTATGTGCGGGTAGGAAGAACACCAGCACATTTCAGACAACCAATTAAAGTCTGTACAAGTTTGAGTGTATTTTAAAATAAAACTTCTATTAGATACAGGAAATAGTGAATATTATTTGTGAATTGTGCAGAGCAATTATTCCATATTGTAAAATTTAACAAATACTTTTATGTAGTGAAAAGCTAAAATTATGTCCCACATAAAGAAGAAATTGAATATAATCTTTTGGCTCAAAATTCTCAAATAAACTCTTTCATACTTGCTTTACATTTTGGCACCATTGTCAAATGAGAGCCCTCTGGGCTCATTTATACTAGACATATGGTTTTCTAAAATAGGTAACAAACCATTTGTTTGGTTGCTCTTTAGTAATGTCTTTCACAGCAACAAACACAAAACAATGATAATTTCTGTTTGTGTTTGGCCAACATTGTAGCAATTTAATTCTATTTAAATGTGCCTTCTTATGATATGGTTTTTGTACAATCTATTTGCACATCCTAATATTTTGATGTCTTAAACAGCTTCTTGATGAATATTCTAAGAATGAGGCCAATAAATTATCTCTGCTATCTCCAAGGGAATAAAATGGTTCAAAGCAAGTGATTTATTGGGTCACAGGAAGAAGGATGGGGCGGAGCTGGAGTGTGGCTTGGGAAGAGTTGGTTTGGGAAGAGTTCCCCACTGGGATACTGCTTCTTAATTTTGGGTAGAGTTGCTTAGAAGGTAAATATCTTTACAGATCGGGGATACCTTCTCTTTAAATCTTTAGGAACAGACAGAGAATTTAGTATTCTATGGCTCCTTGAATGAGATTGGGATCCAGGAGCTTAGTGATCAAGCTTCTTCACTTATATATCAGCATGATGAGGACAAAGAGAAAGTCACAATGTCTGTAACTATCTCTTTGGAATTTTAGAAGAGACTTCCCAGTTGCAGATCCTGCACCAGAGAATTCTTACCTTTCCAAATCTTTTTAGGTCCCTGGTTTTTGCTATAATGTCTTTAACCTCTTGGCAGTGGGTATACAGACAGGTACAATATAGTGACCCAATTTAAGAATGACCACTGATTGGTTTTGTCTACTTTCTACAGCTGTAGGCTATGAAGAAGGACACATAGGGGCTATAGCTGGGTTGGTAAAGCACCAAGTCTAGAATCAGGTAACCATTTAGTTAGAATATGATCTCCAATACTTCCTAGTTGGGTAACTTACTTATCTTCTGTATGTCTGCTTCCTCTATGAATGAACATGGGGTTAAAAATAGCACTTGCCTTATGGGGCTGCTATGAGATTGAATGAGATTTTATCTGAGAAGTGTCTAGCTAGTTCCTTGTATGTTGTAAGTACTCAAAAATCTTGGATATTGTTACTATTATTGAAAACAAATTTCAATTTCCTGCTACTGTTTTTTTGAGCCCCTTCTGGGTACCTCCATAGGTGCTGTAGGGCTGTAGAGAAGGTTGAATATTTTGTAAAGTATTGAGAGTAGGAAGTTGATGGACAAATATAATTTGAGACATTCTTAGGGGAATCCTATGTCTAGCATGCTAATAGACCCCATAACAAGAGCCTGATAACCATCTTCATTTTTATATATATGCGGAAGAAATACCATGGAACACAATTATTTTTAATGAAATTCCAACTTTCTCAAAACATAAATAATGAACAAGCTTTAAAAAATTAAAGCTACCTTGTAGATTGTCAGAATGCTACTCTATACCAACTTAGATTTATCAATCCTATTTATCACATCTTTATTTTACAATTAAAATGTAGTGGATAATCGTGCTGTGAATTGTACACTGTCACTTCTATCAAAGCCTTTCATAGAAGACAGAGAGACAATTTCCTGATTGGAGATTTTTAAAACTTGTGTTGGCACCATTTCTATTTATCAGATGAAGTATAGCAAAGGGATTATTTACAGGATTGAATGACAATCTTAAAACTTGATGAAACACGGCATAAAAGTGAAATCTGAGGAATTACAATATAATTGGTGATAGAAGAAAAGCAAATGAAGAAGGCAAATTAAAGGCACCATTTGTTAAATAAACATTCAGGAAAAAGTGCTAGCATATTTTATGTTACTAAGATTATAATTTTTTAAAAATGGAGGTTGTATGAATTTTACATATCTGTTAAAATCTTATGATTAAGTTTTTTTTTTTTTTTTGCCAATTAGCTCCAAGGATTTGCAACTTTTTATTGGATATTTAAGGACTAAAGAATGGCAAACTGTTTTCCTTTGTTGTCCATTTTTGAAGACATGAGCCAGAAGCTCTCATAGAAGTAGGACATACGACAAAAAGTGGATTTTATATGACAGGTGGCGACAACCAGCTCACTGGTTGGACCGAGAAGAAGCTCCAAAGTACTTTGGAAAGCCAAACTTGCACCAAAAAAGGTCATGGTCACTGGCGATCTGCTGCCAGTCTGATCCACTACAGCTCTCTGAATCCCGGTGAAACCATTACATCAGAGAAGTATGCTCAGCAAATCTATGAGATACTCTGAGAACTGCAACAACCGCAGCCAGCATTGGTCAACAGAAAAAGCCCAATTCTCCATGACAATGCCTGACCATGCATGTCACACAACCAACGCTTCAAAAGTTGAACGAATTGGGCTAGAAAGTTTTACCTCATCCTCCATATTCACCTAACCTCTTGCGAACCAACTACCACTTCTTCCATCATCTTGACAACTTTTGGCAGGGAAAATGCTTCCGCAATGAGCAGAACGCAGAAAATGCTTTCCAAGAGTTCGTCCATCGTATCCTTAAGCATGGATTTTTATGCTACAGGAATAAAAACTTATTTCTTACTGGCAAAAATGTGTTGATTGTAATGGTTCCAACTGTGATTAATAAAGATGGGTTTAAGCCTAGTTATAATGATTTAAAATTCACAGTCCAAAATGATTTAAAATTCACAGTCCAAACCAAAATTACCTTTGCACCAACCTAATATTTGGTAAGTAGCTAAGGTTTTAACTAGTGCATATTCTTAAACTTGCATTATTCTACTTAGATATGTTTGGGGGAGGGAAGTATGTATTCCAGGCAAAAGGAATGGTGTGAACGAAAGCTTGATAGTATGGATATATTTGGCTTCTGTGGGAGTAGTGTGTAGACTAGTTTAGCTGGAACAGAGGGTTTGGGGGAGTGGACAGACAGCTTCAAAGTAGGATGGGGAACATATTGTCAAGCGTCTTGAATATCCAATAAAGGTACATAACATAATTCTTCAGAAAAAATAAAATCATTACAAATTTTTGAGAAAGAGTATAACATACACAAAGAATTTTTTGCTGAGATTAATCTGGCAGAATGTTTAGGCTAAATTAGATGTGAAAAAAGTAGAGAAAAGAAAGCTAGTTAAGATTGGGTTAGCAGCAGTAGAAATATAGAAGGAATAAATGCAAGCAATGTGAGTTCCTGAAGTGCAGGGGTGATCTCATTCATCTTTGCATTCTAAGCACACTACATACAATAATTGCTTAATAAGTTTTAATATAAAAACTTGATTCTTAATTAAGTTTTAGGAGTGCAAGAGAGGGAGTCAAAAGTAATTCCAAATTTTCAAGCCTGGGTGATTGAAAAATAACAGACATGAATAGAATAATCTGTAGGGTAAGCTGATTTGGGGAAAGATAATAAATTCAGCTTCAAACATTTTGAGTTTTAGCTGGAGAGAAGTCGCTGACTAATCTATACTGAATTAAATAAAAAGTATATCAACATACTCAAACAATGGAAGAAGGTTTTTGAAAAAAATGCTGGTCAAACTAGTTTCTCTATTTTAGAACTGAAATGAAAATTTCAGCCAGGAAAAAAATTATATCTCAGTGGCAATAGTCAATGACCATGCACCACTAATGTGATTATTGTCATGGTTTGATATAATATTTATTTTACTTAAGTCCTTGTTGCAGTAATGGTAATCAAATATGCCAATATTGTTCATGTTTGACACAAATTGGGTGTTTAAAGGTATATAGGCTGGGCACAGTGGCTGATGCCTGTAATCCTAGCACTTTGGAAGGCTGAGATAGGAGGACGGCTTGAGAGTAGGAGTTCGAGACCAGCCTGAGCAAGAGTAAGACCCCTGTCTCTACGAAAAATAGAAAAAATAGCTGGACATGGTGGCACGCACCTGTAGCCCCACCTAAATGGAAGGCTGAGGCAGGAGTATCACTCAAACACAGGAGTTTGAGGTTGCAGTGGGCTACAATGATGCCTCTGCACTCCAGCTTGGTGACAGAGCAAGACCCTGTCTCCAAAAAGAAAAAAAAGGTAAGAAAAGATAAATGTATGGCAGACAGAGTCCACTTTAATAACCATGGATCAATACAGTGACATTTTAGAAAATATGTTAGGAAGTTAAGAAGCTAGGAGACAGATGTTCAGCAGTACAACATTACCAACCACACACATATTTCTAAATAAATGCATGTAACCAGAATAAATGTCTTTGACAAATAAAATGTGTTTTGAATACCCTAAAAATTATCTGTTGCCCAACACAACCCAGCATCTATTTGCTCTCCTCTAGCGAGAGAGGCAGAGAGAGGGATTAAGAGTCATTGCTTAGATGAGAGAGACATTCTTGGGGGAGAGGTGTCTTAGGGCCTGATTTATAGAAATAGTTGCTGAGTGACCTTCCTTATTAAGTCATTTATAATATCAAGAAGGGATTCCTCTCTGCCAAACAATATATTCTTTGAAATGTATCAATATAATTTTCAAGATTTCATGCAGGCTAAATTGACTTGTAGCAAAAGTAAAGAAATTTAATTCATTTTTGTGTTTAGCTTAAGAATATTGAAGCTTCAATGGTGAATGGATTTATAATCTGATAAATTTATTCTGGGAATATTGATATTCTGTTTCATCCCCTTTATGAAGGACACATATTTTTCTTTTACTTTGTTTTAAAGAAAAGAATTACATAAGCCCATGGAAATGACAAAACTGCTTTATTTCAGCTGTAATAAAATTTCATTCATGTATTCGTTGTTGTATTCTATAGTGAAAGGTCTACTAAATTAATGGAGAAAGTGGCTTTAACTATCATCCATTTCCTGAAGACAGCAAATTTATATCTCTAGCTTTGGTCGTCCTTTCCAAACTCCACACTATATATAGCAATCTAAGCTAAATACCTCCACTTGAATGCCTCATAAATGTATCAAGTTTATATTTAAAACAGAACTCTTAGTTTTCCACTACAAACCCGTCCCTCTCCGTCTTGTGTCTAGCTTTTTTAAATGGTTCTGATATACACCTCATTTTCGAGTCTAAATCTTGGGAGGCATCCTTGCTTTATATATTCGCTTCAGATACTCTTCCCAATCAGCAAGTTCTGTGGCTGCTTTTTACAACTGTTACTTGAATCAGAACAGATTTATCCATTTTACTGCTATCATAGTAACATTATATCTCACTTGAAATATAGTAAAATCATCTGTTTCCACCGTGGCCTCAATATTCCATTCTCCATGTAATAATTTAAATAATGTCTTAAAAACACTAAGCAGAACATACCATCCCCTGCTTAAAAATATATAATATCTTTGAAAATCAGTCAGGACCATTATTTGCAAATCATAGAAACGATTTCTTATTAATTCAAGCAACCAGCCTTCAAGATGGTTACTTCACTTCTCCCCACATTTTTGGTATGCATGCCCTTGTGCAGTCTGCTCCCATATTGGATAAATCTGACCTGTGTGACCAATAAAGTATTGTTGAAATGATGAAATATGACTTCTGAGGCTAGATCACAGAAGACATTACAGTTTTTGCTGTGTTCTTCTTAGACAACTTGCTCTGGAGCAAGCCAAATGCTATGCCATGAGAACACTCAAGCAGCCCTATGGAGAGGTCCACGTGGTAAAGAACTGAGCCCTCCCGCTCATAGCCAGCAAAAGACTTAGGTCTCCTAATGACAGCAGTGTAAATGAGACATCTTGGAAATAGATCTTTCAGCCTCTGTCAAGGTTTCAAATGAGTAAGGAAATCTCTAGCCGACATTATTACTGCAACCTCATGAGAAATTCTCAGCTCCTCAGTTAAGCTGCTCCCAAATTCCTGACCAATGGAACTATGTGTGGTAATAAGTGTTAACTGTGGATTTAACTTGGTAAGTTTGGAGATAATTTGTTATCCAACAATACATAACTCACATATTAATATAAGTACAAAATCATTTAATAGAAAGATATTGGTAATTTGAAGAATGTTGGAGGGAATTTGGAGAACCAGGTTTAAGACCAATCTGCCAGGAACTACATCACAGTCACGCTGCAGAACTGGTCCATTGAGGACATTATCATGGCTTGATGCCAATTGTGGATACCCCAGGAGACTGGGCACTGCCAGCAATATTGATATTCCTCAAGAACTCAGTCTCCTTGCAACCACTGTCACCATCTAAAAGAGCTTCTAGTATTTCCTATGACTCTGTCATAACTTTAATGGAAACTGGAAAGATTTCAGTTTCTAGAATGGTATAGACTTTTCTTCCCATCAAGCTTCATAGGATGGGAAAAGTCTTCCCTCACATGAAGGGTAGTCAGGGAAGCTAGAATAAGCATGTTTGTTAATGTCTCCGTTTTAGAATAAAATACAAACACTTTGCTATGATTTGTAAGATTGGGCTATAGCTTCTTTCTCTAACTTCATCTTCCACCATTCTTCTCCATATTCACTATGCTCCACATTGGAATTCTTTCTATCTTTTCAATATACAAAGCTGATTCCTATCTCGGTATTTCCACACCTGCTATCTTCTGTGCAAGCAGAATGTTCTTTGCTAACATCCCTCACTAGCTGGACCTTTCTCCTTCTTCAGTCTTCAGAGGCCAGGTTACCTCCTCGAAGAGGTAGTTCCCGATCATTATAACTAAGTTGTGACCTTCCCATTCTCTCTCTCATTCTTAACTTATTATTTTTTTTAATTTCTTGAAATGATTGTGTTTATTATCTTATTGTTGGTTTTCCATGATCGGATGACAGCTTCTTTCGAGCAGAGATGCCCACTTTTGTTCACTGGTGTATTTCCAGTGGCTATAATAGCATCTGGAACCTAATGTGTTTTCGATAAATATTAGTTAAACAAATGGATTAATGAATGAATGAATGAACGAATAACAGTAATTATACCTCTTCTTTCCAAGATCTTTAAATATATGTAGATAATAAAAGGAAATACTAATTTATTTATGTTATCCTTTCTTTGAAGAAAATCCCTTTGGAGAAAAATAATACTTAAAAAATAGACTTATTTGCTTCAGAGAAATATTTTCTCTTAAATATATTGTTGTTTGCTTTCCTGGAACCTGTTTACCTTTTTCTCTTTTCTTAATTGGATCTGAGAGCTCTCACCCATGTGAAGAAAGTGGGATTGATGCCACACAAACACCTAACGTCAGGGGATCACATTCTTTTGATTCAAGTGACTACTCAGAGGTTGAAAGGGAACCGGGTTTGTTTAACCCAAGAAAGTCCAAGATTTTGTGTGGTGGTTGCAGGAAGATAACATGTTTTTGTACTCCCATTATTATAGATAAAAAAGGCATATAAATCTAGTTGAAGCTGGTAACTAATTTGAGAACACAAGGTTGTACAGGTTTAGATAAAATTTATACTGTGGGAAAGAGTGGAGAGTCAGAACAGAATTGGGAATTTATTAACTTTATTGGGCAACTACATCTTCAATTTTTCAG